GTCTATGTAGCCACTCTTAGATAATTATTACTGTTATTGCAGGATTGTGTATGTAATAGTATTTACCTCTGTTGCTTTTAACTCTCGTGCTCCTTCCAGTGTCTTCCTTTACCCTGATTACTTTGTGCTGACCTCTCCGTTATTGTTATACTGCCTTCCTCTTTAACCAAGTTAATGTGTGTCTACCCCTAGTTAGTGATTTACCCTCCTTGCCTGCCACCTTGGTAATAATCTTCAAAGAATGATTCTTTCTGTATAAAAACCATAACTTTTTATAATAGTGGGCCCATACATACAATATTTTTGCTTTTGTGATTGACTAATTTCACTCAGCATAATGTCCTCCTGATATATCCATTTTATGAGGTGTTTTGATATTCATCATTATTCTTTAAACATCATATTCCATTGTGTATATGAACTAGTTTATCCATTCACCCATTGATGGGCAGTTAGGTTGTTTCCTGTAAATAGTAGTATGATGGACCTTGGTGTGCATATATCTATTTATGTCACAGCTCTAATTTCTGCAAGATATATATATATACACATACATACCTATAGTGGGATTGCTGGATCATATGGTATATCTATTTCCAACATTTTAAGGCATGCTATACTATTTTCATGGTACAGTGGTTGTATCGTGTTACAAACCTATCAGCAGTGTATGAGGGTTTCATTCTCTCCACACCCTTGCCAGCATTTGTTGTTTTCTGATTTTGTAAATTTTGCTATTAGTGCTGGGATGAGATGATATCTCATTGTTGTTTTGATTTGTATCTCTAATAGCTAATTATCTTGAGCGTTTCTTCATGTGTTTGTTGGCTACCTGAGTGTTTTTTGGTGAACTGTCTGTTCATGTCCTCTGTCCATTTTTTAAGTGGATTGTCTTTCTGTTGTTTAGATGTTGAAGTTTTCTATGAATTTTAGAGATTATTCCCTTGTTGGCTATGCCACTGCCAATTTTTTTTCCCAGTCTATGGAATCTCTTGTTTCTTTTGATGCACATAAGTGTTTAATTTTTAGGAGGTCCCAGCCATCTAGTTTGTCTTCTGCTGTTTGTACACTTTCAGTTAGGTTTAATAGTATATTTATGTCCTGTATTAGGGCCACTAAGTTTGTCCTATTTTTTTGCTTGATTATCTTTATAGTTTTAGGTTACATATTTAAGTCTTTGATTCATGTTGTTTGTTTTTAATATAGTGTGAGAGTTGGATCCTATTTCATTTTTCAGCAAAAGAATATCCAGTTTTGCCAGCATCATTTGTTAAAGAGACTACATTTCCCCCCATTTAATGAGTTTCAGCCCTTTGTCAAAGATCAGCTCTCCACAGGTGGAGGATTTACTTCTGGGTTTTCAATTCTGTTCCATTTATCTACGTGTGTCATTGTACCAGTATCAGCCTGTTATGACTAGCGTAGCTGTGTAGAAGGTTTTGAGATCAGGTGTGAGGCCTCCTACTTTGTTCTTCTTTATTCATGCTTTTCTTACCTGGGGTCTCTTTCCTTTCCTTATAAAGTTGGTGATTAGTTTTCTATCTCTTTAAAGAACAATTTTGTAATCTGGATGGGGATTACATTATACTGTAGATTACTTGCATAGTATTGACATTTTCACAATGTTAAAGTCTTCCAATCCATGAACATGGTATATTTTTCCATTTATGTAGGTCTTTTTCAGTTTGTTGTAGTAGTGTTTTATAGTTTTCTTTGTGTAGATCTCTGGTATCTCTCTCAGCAATATTTTATAGTTTTCACTGTATGTCTTGTTAAATTTATCCCTTTCATTTTTTATACTATTATAAATGGTATTATTTTTATCAATCTCCAATTGTTTTTTGCTAACATGTAGAAATACAAGAGTTTTTTGTTTTTTTTTTTAAATTGACTATGTATTCTGTGACCTGCTAAAGTTATCTCTTAGTTCTAAAAGCTTTTCCTATTTCAAGATCCTTAATCACAGTTATAAATTTCCTTTGCAAGTAACATAGTCACAGGTTTCTGGATTAGAACATGGTCATTTGAAGGGGGCCATTATTCTGCCCCTACCACATGTCTAATCGTGTCTTGGTGTCTGTTTCTCCAAGGACACAAAATAACACAGTAACCTTAGCTGAAGTGGCCTCCTAAGAGTTTTGATAGTACTTTTCCCATCATAGCACTTGCACTTTTACAACTCTATTATAATTACTTCTGTGTTTATGTCTCTGATGGACTGTGGACTCCTTGAGAATATTGTTTTATTCACTAGTATATTATTAGTGTTTAGCAAAGTATCTGGCATATTGTAGATGTTTAATAATATTTAGGAAATATTCCTTGGATAAAGTATATATATATATGAGACTTTTGAGAAGGAAATGTGAGAGATATCCATAGTAAGAAAATTTTAATTTTTTTGTGTGTCACAATATTGCCATTAAAAACTTAATGAGGAAAAATCATGATCTGCATCCTAGTGAAGTGAGTAGTGCTTGGTGTCTTAAAAGCTTGTGAGTCATCTAAGACACAATTATGGGCCTCTACTCACTGGGAGCAAAACAGTAAGAAGGTAACCAAAACTGTAGAGAAGAAACAAGTCCACAAGACTTGTTTACCCAGAGACCAGAACTAGGTGGCAGCAATCTACCACCACTGACCATTCTGAATAGGGTCACAACAGTTAGTTCCAGATAGAATGGGAGAAAAATATGGAGACCTCAGATCCTTATTTAAAAAAAAAAAAAGCCAGACCAATTGGAACAGCAGAGAATAGGGGACTGCCTGAGACTATTGCCCTGAGACACTTTTTGAACCTAGAACCGAGCCTATACCCTGCAATCAGCTTTAGTGAAACTGCAGAGTGAAACACAAATAAAGGGTATTACTTGTAAGATCAGTGCCCTACTTAAAAACCTCAGTATGAGACCAAAAGACCAACAATTACTCAAAAGCAAAGAAGAGAAGAGAAGGGGCCGGAAACGGTACCGGAAAGGGAACTGAACACAGAAAGAATGTTGACACTTGTGATAAATCTAATGCCACCAAACAACTTCTGTAGACACTGTCAAATGGGAACCTAACTTGCTGTGTAAACTTGCACCAAAAACTCAATAAAATATTATTTAAAAAAAATTTTTAACGAGTCCTCACCCATTGCTGGTAGGAATGTAAAATGGTACAGTCACTGTGGAAAACAGTTTGGCAGTTCCACAAAAAGTTGAACATAGTTTGTAATTACTTTGGCCAATTGCCTATTTGCTTTCAAATCCATTTTCCCACTCTTCCATTTCTTTGCTTCACTTGGAACTACATTTCTCACATGCCCTCACTTCCTGGTTTCCAGAGGGGTTTGGCTAATAGGAGGCAATAGTTTAAGATGATGGGATAGGAGGACAAAGGAGGAACATGGCACTTCTTGCCCCGTGCTACGATATTTGTAGTGGTGTCCCCCCTGTAGTGACTGTGTCATCTCTTATGGCTTCTGTACTCTGGTAACACCACTTCTTCCTGACGTTCCTTCCACCTGAGAAGTGATAGCAATTCTTGCTCTTGCTCATCTCTCAGTTGCCTCACCATCCCTTTTGGCTTCTTAGTTTTGGTTCATCACCAGTGAAACCAATTCACTGTGTTTCTTCAGTTTGAAAGATCTAGAGTTATTTGTGTTTTCCCAGTTAGACTCTGATACAAGTACTTTGAAAATCACTGGAAATTCTCGGCCCCCATTTAAAAAAAAAAAAAAAAAAATTACTACCCTGATTATATAATTGAATGAATAATCAGGAATTAAGTTTTCCATCAGTCAATTCTATTTCAACCTCATCCTCTTTTCTAATTTATAGTAGAAAAATTGAAACTGACAAAAGTTCTATAAAGTTTTTGCTTCTCAACAGTGGCGCAAAGTATAATGTGGTCCTTGAGAAAATAGAATCAATTCTTAAAAGGCTCTAATTTAAATCCTATGTTGATTTAGTTAGTATATTTTTACACAGTTTTTACAAATGTATGCAGTTTCCTGAATTTGATTTATTTAAGAGGCCCCTTCACAGTTTTTGGAATAACTTAGCAAAGTCACTCCAATGTAGAAAATGTCTCAGGAATTAGGAATTTGTCTTTGTTACCTTTATTGTTAGTATAAAAAGTTGCAGTATGAGATGATGTTAAAATTAATGGAAGGTTTATTGGCCCAAGGAATTTAAGACTGTTAAGGGATCTAGAAATATAATGAGAACTGAAGAGTCAAATTTCATTCCTAACAAAAGGCTGAACATAACTACAAATAACTCAAACCCACTGCCGTTAAGTCAACTGGACTTGTAGTGACACTATAGAACAGGGCAGAACTGTGCCATAGGGTTTCTAAGGCTGTAGATCTTTATGGAAGCAGACTGCCACATCTTTCTCCAGCAGAGTGCCTGGTGGGGATTGAAACACTGGCCTCTGGTTGGCAGTCAAGCACTTAACAACTGTGCCATCAAGGCTCCTTTGACTACAAGTAGAAAACCTGAACACCAGGCTGTTGTTATTATGTGCCGTCGAGTCAGACCCGATTCATAACGACCCCTCCTTGGGTTTCCGAGGCAGTATCACTACGGAAGTAGATTGCCCCATCTTCCTTCCGAGGAGTGGCTGGTGGATTGAATCGCCAGCCTTCTGCTTAGCAGTCAAGTGCCTTAGGCACTATGCTACCAGAGCTCCTGAACACCAGGCAGACAACCATCATTTGGGGTTTAGCAAGGGTTTAGAAATCCCAAGACACTGATGCACTGAAAAAGAGAGCTAAGAAACAAATATTTACTAATGCGTATGAACTGAATATGTATTTCTGGGTCTGTTCCCAAAAGTCTCATAAACAAAAACACATTTACATCAAAAGTGATTATTTTTCTTTTTAATCAAAACAAAATGGTTCTAACAAGATGAAATTTGTTTGCTGACCTCTATCACACAAAAGGACAGATCTTCAAACCATTTTGTTAATGGGAGAAATGATATTCTTCATGACTGTGGCTTCACTATCATTTTGAAATGTTTAATATTTGGATAATATCATAAATGAGTGAACATTTTTCAATATTCTCTTTTAAATGCATTTCTTGGTGTGTTTTATGCATCTCATAATTTGAGATTGTATCGTTTACATGAACTAAGCCTGCTGAAACCAGTCGATGACTTTTACATTTTCCATTGTGACTTTTCCGTCGTTTGATGACCTCTGGGGCAGTATATGGTCTTGCAGAGTATTTTGATTTGTGGTGGTTGTCATCTGGGCTCTTTCCCAAAAGCCTTGCCCTTGATTTTGTTTTTTCAAGATTCTTAAATGAAGCCATAGGTATATCCTCAAATCTATCCGAACAATCCTAAATATTAAAATAAAAAATCATATTGATAAATTGGGTTTCTTAAAAGTACATCTTAAATTTACAAGGACTAAAGTTTCTAATAACAATAAAGACAAAGAATGACATCATCAAATGTTTTGTAGGCAGTCCCATTAGCTACTACTTTAGAAACTGCATAAAAAAAAAATTAAAAAAATAAAACCAACTTATTTTTTCAAGGGATCTGTTGTTTCAAAATAGATGGAAGATATGAAGCTCAAAACTAGATAAATTTAGTAGGCCAGCTTCTCTGTAGTTCTTCTGCACCAAAATTAATTACAAACTCTTAGATTTTACTTTTTATATCATCCAAATTTTCATTAAGTTAATAATAAATATATTCTTTATATATATGAATATACATTATATTTATAGTATAGTATATCATCTATATCTTTGTGTGTGTGTACACAAATCTCTTTTGATCTAGCAGTCCCGCCTCTGGAAATCTAGTCTAAAGAAACAACTCAAACTATGGGGCAAAAGTTGTATTAAGTTGTACTTTAAAGTATTACTTATAAGGCAAATGTCTAACAGCAGAGAAGTGGTTAACCTAGATTAGTCTACCTAACTTGGTGAAATATTATGTAAATATTTAATGATTATGAATGAAGACTGATAGTAATATGGTGGTAATGTGTTCTTTGAAAATAGTAAACATCTTTATGTGGAGTCTGAGAGTAAACAAGTAAAAAGCACATTCATGAAAATATTAGAAAAGGATATACCAAGATAATAAAAGAAATAATGATTGAATTAGGATGGTAAGATTAGGGTTTTTTCCTCTTGTTTCTCTTTCAAATTTTCTTTAATATAGTTATATTTTATAATAAAAATATAACAATCTACAAGTACACCTAAAAGAGTATGGAGCTCATTCTCAAATTAGTGTAAACTAGTTTACTCAGCAGTTAGAGCAGTTGCCTCGGCATCTTGCAGAGAATGCCGCACAAAGGGAAAATGCTACTTTGATTTGCAGAGGAGATGGGAGTGAAATAATAGAATGGGGGAGTGGAAGGTGGTTGGCAGAACAGAGAAGCATTAGCGTAGCCAGAAAGAGAAGAGTTATAAAAAAGGAAGTAGGAAGAGTCTAAAGACAAATTCTATCTACTTTACATTTTTGCCTGGTTTTGGAGAGGGCAAGGAAACATTCTTCCTCTTTCCTCTTATGTACATGGGGATAATTAGGCAAGCCATGTTTTTAAGTGAAAGCCTGACATATTATTGAGAGTGTGTATATATATATATACATATAATGTATAGATATATAAACCAAAAACCAAACTCCCTGCCGTCAAGTTGATTCCACTCATAGCGACCCCTCCTTGGGTATCTGAGGCAGTATCTCTACGGAAGTAGATTGCCCAACCTTCCTTCCCAGGAGTGGAGCTCAAGTCTGGGCCAAACATAATGGCAGGTTTTGATACACCTATCAGCATAATCCTGGGAGCTCTGGTAGCATAGTGCCTAAGGCACCTGACTGCTAACCTGGCAGTTCAAACCCACTAGCCACTCCTCAGAAGAAAGGTTGGGCAATCTACTTCCGTAGTGATACTGCCTCAGAAACCCAAGGAGGGGTCGCTATGAGTCGGGGCCGAATCGACGGCACATAACAACAACAACACAGTAAAACATAAATACAATTTCTTGTTTCCTTTTAAAAGGTGATATTATAGCTTCTGTTTGTCTAAAGGAACTTGAGAAAGCATTGTTCTCCAAAAACTATGAGCCTTTTATCTTCTACTTTCTTTTCCTACTATGTACATACAAACACATACACACACACATACTCTTCAATACTAAATTATTTTTAGGAAAGAAAAATCCAAAGTTAGAGGATAGGCTACCCTGATAACCTTTACCCTGATACTTTAAAGCTAATAATTTGCTTTACTATAGAAAAAAAAAAAAATCCCAAGCTATGATTCTGCTTGCTGAAAGTGAACAGGACTTGAAGCACTTACTGATGAAGATGAAAGACTATAGCCTTCAGTATGGATTACTCCTCAACAAAAAGAAAACAAAAGTCCTCACAACTGCACCAATAAAGCAACATCACGATAAATGGAGAAAACATTGACGTGGTCCAGGATTTCATTTTCCTTGGATCCACAATCTACGCCCACATAAGCAGCAGTCAGGAAATCAAATGATGGAAGAAGGCAGAATAGGCATGGAAGCTACCCAGACCCCGTACAACAATGAAACAAGAAACCAACTGAAACAGATACAGGTGACAATTCTGGAACCCTGAGCTTTGAAGGGAAGAATAAAGTAGTGGATTAAATACTGTTTAGTAGAAGACACTGAATGAAAACAGCAAATAAGGAGACAAATGGAGCTTAGGCTGTCACCTGGCCTGACAGTGAAGCCATTTTGAATATTTACAAGTGGCTTATGATCAGGGCAGCAACCTGATAGTCAGTTCTGCTTGCTGAAGACTGCACAGGCGCCCACATGGGTGGCTGGCAACCAGAATGGTGCAACATTCTCTTTGCTCCCTTCATCCACACACCCTCCTGGTGAATGGAATTGTGGCCATCCCCAACACCATCCACCTTCTAGACTGGCAAGAATTCCATCCCAGACAGGACACCTTTCCACCAGCTGCCTTCTGGCCATGCAGGAACTGGTTCTGGGACTAGATGCCTTTTGGGATGGCAGGGACATTTTCTGGGAATGGGGACTCTTTGCCCAGCTGCCTTTTGGAGCAGCAGAAACTTTCTGGGGCCAGACATGTGGGAGCTGGGGAGCTGCTTTTTGGGCTGGCAGGAACTCCTTTTGAAATCAAGCACCTTGGTCCCAGCTGTCTTTTTGACTTGTAGGAACTTTTTGCAAGCCCAGGCACCCTGTACCCAGGTGATTTTGGGGCTGGCGGCAGCTCATTCTGGAAGCAGGGACCTTGCTCCCAGCTGCCTTCTGGACCAGTAGGAACTTACCTGATCAGGCAACCTGCCCTCAGTTGCCTTTTGGGTAAGCAGGAACTAGTTTTTGGACCAAACATCCTGCTCCCAGCTGCCTTTTTGGCTGGCAGGAACCTCTCTGAATCGAGGCATCTTTCCCCCAGACATCTTCTGGGCCAGCATAAACTCATCTGGGATCAGGCACACTGCCCCTAGTTGTCTTCTGGATAGGCAGGAACTAGTTCCAGGCCCAGGCACACTGCTGGAACCAGGCACCTTACACTTAGCTGTCTTTTGGGACAGCAGGCACTTTTTCAGTGACCTGCTCCCAGCTGCTTCTCAGGTGCCTTGCTCTCAGCTGCCTTTTGAGAAAGCAGGAACCTTTTTTGGGACCAGGTGATATAACCTCAGCTGCCTTTTGGGATGGCAGGAACTTTTACTGGGACTGGGCTCCCTCCACCCAGCCACATTTTGGGACAGCAGGAACTCCTTCTGGATCCAGAAGCCCTGCCCCAGCTCTCTTCTGGGCTGGCAGGAACTCCTGCTGGATACAGGTGCCTTGCTCTCTGATGCCTATTCAGCCAGAAGAGACAATGACCAGGTGCCCCGTCCCTCAGTTGTTTCTTTTTTTTCTTCCTCCTTTCTTTCTTTTTATTTTCTCTTTCCTTTGCCAACAGTGGTCTTTTTTTATTTTTTTAATTTGCTCCTTCTTTACATTTTTTCCATCCTTTGCATTTTTCTTCTTTTTTTTCTTTTACTTTTATGTTGCTCTCTTATTTTCTCCTCAAATTCTGCTGTTCCTTCTTTTTCTCTTTTTTGTCCTTTTCATTCATTATTTTTTTTCTTTTTGTGGGTGTATCTTTATGCTGTTTGTGTTTTTTGTTCTCTTGCTGTTATTATTATTATTATCATTATTATTACTGATGTTGTATTTTGTCCCACCTGGTTGGAGAAGGAAACAATTCTCACATGACCCAATCATATCTGTATCTCCTGGAACTCCACCCATTAGGTGAGGGCCACCACCTGCTTCTGCATCAACTCATTAATGATAGATGACTGCCAATTATCAACTAAACCAACTATCAATTGCACTACAAAAACAGCAAACAGAGATCCATGCACACATTCCACCCTCTGTCATACCCACCAGGAGACAGATGGTGAGTGCCTAAGTGCTGCCAAACCACTGAATAGAGTAGTACACCAGCCCTGCTTACTTAGGTATATCAAAACAAAATAAAGTGATAAATAATCTGGATGAATTGCACTAACATACAATCACCTATTAAATACAAATACAACAACATCACAATGTTGTAGAAACAAATAACAATCCCAGTTCACACAAAGAAGAAGATATACTAGTATAAACAAGGGAATAGAATACAGAATCAGAAAACTTCCCTGAGGAAAAAGTGACATTGGAACTACCTGATAAGGAATTAAAAAGAATTATATTTAGGTACCTTCAGCAAATTAACAGACAGATCAAGGAGAACATTGACAAAATTAAGGAAAACACACCCAAAATGCTAGAAGAATTTAGGAAAACAATACATGAACAAACTGACAAAATAAATGAAAAACTAGAAAGCACACAAAAACAGGAAATAGAAACCCAGAAGATTAATACTAAGATTTCAGAAGTATATTATACATTGATAAGGCAAAGGAGTAGAATAGAATGGAAGATAGAATTAGTGCGATTGAAGACATATCTCTCAATACTACTTTGCTAAGGGAATGTAGTGCCTAAGGCACTTGACTGCTAACCAGAAGACTAGCAGTTCAAACTCACCTGCCACTCCTCAGAAGGAAAGTTGGGCAATTTATTTCTGTAGTGATACTGCCTTGGAAATCCAAGGAGGGGTTGCTATGAGTCGGGTCCAATTTGATGGCACACACAATGACAACAACAAAGAGAACAATCAGAAAAAAACCAACAACATAAAAAATGTGAAGAAAGCCTAAGATTTATGTGAGACATCATCAAGAGGAGTCATTTACATGTGATTGGAATTCCAGAACAGGAAGAGACAAAAAAATAAATAAATAAATAAATAAATCACAGAG